AGATAGTCGAGGTACCAACAATTCAGAGAATGTTCAATGTTATAGAACCGACTTTACAGTTGACAAGGAATTATTCCAGATTAAAATAATGAATTCAACTTAAACTGACAAATGAATTTTGAAATGAAAGATCATAGGTACCGCGAGTTTTCGTAAAGACAGACAAGAATTCCCAAATTGAAATATACATATTTTATAAAATTTTGAATGAATGAAATGATGATTTCAATCGATCTAGCCTAAATTGACACGCGCGCAATATATCATACTTTATATTATTATATATATTTTAAATAATACTTTCACAAAAAAGGTATCGAGAATTCATTCTTAACTCTGACTGGTGTTCTTGAAATGATTATATAATTAAAATCGTATTTATAAAATCATATTTCATTATACATGAATATTTTTTAAATCCAAATGGAATTTTGTAGTCCAAAGAACTGCTACTTTCCAAAAATTAAAACTCATAAAATCGACTGCAGCAAACTATGTTTTTCTTTGCTTTTCCTGGACATATTATTTGTTCACTTTATTTAAATTATGATTAATATTTTTTACAATAAAATATAGATGTGTCTTTGTATACCGAAGGAATAATAATGGAATATAAAATTCTTAACACCGTTTCATTTCGAAACGTAAGTTACACAACGCTCTACAGGAGATCCCTAAAAGTGCGAAGTACAATTTAATTTGTACGTACGTCTGTCAAAAATAATTGAAACGTCAACGCAGATCATTCACGTGAGAATTCTCACGTGAGTATTCGGTATCAGTAGATTCTCATGCAGCTGGCATGCGATAAATTAAAACTATGCGGGAAGAAGAAAAAAAGGAAGTGACTTTAACTACCGAAATTACCGCGAATCCACGAGGAAAATAAATATGTACGTTCGGGCAGTTGACGGACTAACATGAAAAACAACTCTTCATTGCCCCTGACAATCAAACACAGTGATCATGAAAGGAAGTTGTCGTTTAATAGACTACAAATCGCTTTACCTTCTACGTGTATGTGTGTTTTTTACCAATATCATCCGTACGTTCCGTCGACGTTTTTTCCATTTTAGAAACGCGGGATAGATTAAACGGTTCGCATGGAGTTCTGAAACCGGTATACACACAGGTGCATTAAGGTAAACTATCTTCTGCAATTCGTTATTTTGTTCGTGCAAGTCGATCGGATAATTCCAGATATTCTTATCGCTGACGGATAATTTTTATTTCGCAAATTATTGGGTTGCACCTCTGTTGTTTCGCTGCTTTCGTCTGGTTCTCGGCTCGGTTTCCGTGCGTTCCCTTTCTTCAATCTTATTGTACATCCGCAGACGTTCAATTATACTGCAACAGCAGTTGATAAAGAATATCCGATCCTTCTTAATTCAAATCTTCTTATTGTGTTCTCCATAGCTCTCTTCCTGTTGGTATATACTCTCAGGTTGGCATCAGGATTGGGCATTATTCGAATCAAATTTTATTCGAACAATATTTCGAATTTTATTCGAATAACGTTTCGAATACATTCTTCGAGTAAAATTTTATTCGAATATTATTTCGAGTAAATCCTACGAACAAAATGTTATTCATTATTCGAATAAAATATACTCAACTCTGGTTGTCACAAACATTTCCATTATTATAAAGCGTGCTCTGAAATGTAGAAAGAAATGTTTTTTATCACATAAAGTTGACAATGATGGTGGCTTGTAACCCGTTATGTTAAGCTACACTGCGTGTCTTTGTAAACCACTTATCAGTTTACTATGTCATTCACGTGTGAGATTTCATTGCAATCAGTTATTTATCTGAGTTTATTCATGACAGTTTCGTAATTTCGAGATTTGATAGTCTTCATAAAATATTTCCTACTGGAAGTAGATAATGTAAACGTAATTTTTATTTATCATGAGTACTTGGCACTTTATGCAATCGGACACAACAGTTGAATTGATAGTTATATAATTAGACTTCAGATATTTATACATATTTATACAACATATTTATACAAAATAAAAATGATCTTTATTAGTATCAAGATTTAATATTTGCTTAATTGTTTGAGGTCTTCTTATTTTGGATTTTGGATTTTGAATTATCCCAAACATCGATAACTTGAAAATTAATCAAATTCGCGTTTGCTACATAGGAATTATTACCACACTTTTACGGAGAGATGATATTTGCGAATATTTCCGAAATTGATTTTGCAAAACTTTATATCGTGTTTCTACAAGTGTTGGAGTTTCTTTGTTATTATTAGTCTGCGGATCTTTATGGAGTTATGGCATGCGCAGATTTTGAAAATGCAAGAAAAATTAATAAATTAACAAGGTCTAATAGCATTTTTATTTTCTTCTTAACGAGTAATTTTTTAATTGACAAAGAAAGCTTTTTCTTCGTTCCGATTTTTGGAAAATAATGGACAAAAATAAGAATTTGCATAAAGATTCGCAGTCTAGTTATTATGATACAAATGATAGCAGCAATTATGACTTTATTGCGGACTAGTAAAAACCAAATTATAGTTAACATTCCAATAGTCTTCGATATTGTTTTTATTAGGAATTGCTACTTTGCTTGAAATAGATTGCGAAAAAAGTATAGCAGCGAATAGCCATCATAGCGTACGCTACTCTTGAAAACGAAACTATATTTAGCTCTGACTTTGGCTCGCTGCCCAGTCTTTAAATATTTTCCGTTCAATCGACAAAACGGTGAAAATTTTCGAAATTATGTAAATTCTTAATTAGTGGTTGTCCGTTAAAATCTTGAGCGTAGTGCGAAATACTAAAGTCATCGAAATCATATCAGCTGCGCCATAGAAATTGACGGTTTGCGTCAACAACATTGCTTTGTTTGAATCGACTAATTAGCTAACCAAATATATTTTTACGCAAATACAGACAACAATATTGACTGAAATATAGGAGCAAATATTACACAATTAATTCTCTATATCCATTTACATCAATTTGTTTTCCCACAATTTTCAACTTCTTGGCAATTTCTAATTTTATTAAAAATTATAACGGATGTATAAATTAAGAAATCGAAACAGTTACAGAAAAGTTGGGCAAAGAGTTTGGAAATTATTGAATTTTAGGAAAATTATTGAGAGAAAATTATTGTGTTGATACAAAAGTATACTGTCTTTGTAATATGTTGTTCCTTACTAATCGTAATAATTTTAATGTACTTATTTTCAACAAAACAATGCAATGATAATAGTATCGAAAAAGAGACTCATTGACAAATCGCTGAATTTCATTTTATACAGAATTTTTCTTTCATTTCAAACACATTCATATATAACCAGAATTATTTTATAGATAATATATCTTCTGCCACATATCGCCGAAGCTGACAGAAAATCGAATCCTCACTCCCGAATAAGAAGATATCCGTTTTGAATAAAATTTACAGGAGTTGCAATAAAAATTATTAAAATAACTCATTAAAATCGTTTAGTTACTACTAAACTAGAGACTTTGTGCATTTATGGCAATACTGTTTCATTATGCTCAACATATGAAAATTATGGAAAGATCTTTTTTAACTTTTCGGGTTCGTTTAAATTTTGTTTCTTACAATTGACTTGGGACATGTTTATTTTGCATAAAAATCTGTTGTTTAATTATTACAAGCTCTTTCTTGTAATTTTACATCATGATCTTGTAAGATTACATCATGAAATAACTATAACAGTGTCTAATAATGATAACAGTGTCTCTTAATTATCTTTGCTTTGTTAAATAGTTTTGTAAGACGAAATCTGAAAAATAAATAATTTATACAAAAGTTGCTTCGTCTTTCCGCAAATGAGATGTCTGCTAAGAAAAATACAGATTCCAATTTAGGAGAAAGATTACATATATTGCGTTTGAAATACTCCACTTTGATCGCACATTAAAGTAATATATAATGCGATTACCTCGATTCTTTTCGTTTCATTTTTAAATTTCATAATAATTTTTTAAGCTTCACGAACTATTCGATCGTTTATCAAATTTTTGACTTAAGGTCGATATGGTAGATTGCCGAACGTGTTTCAAGCTTAACCTATCAATACTAAATAAAAGAACCAGGTTACTCCGTTTAAGAAGAAATAAATTTTACTGTTCGTAAGATTTAGGAAACATGAGCTTCGGATGTCCTTGGAAAACACATGTCACCGATGTGTCAATACCTCGACAAATCTTAGCAAAGCCGTTAGAAGTGGCGGAATTAAGCGAGACATTTCACACTGAACAAGAAAAAGGAATAATGACGTTACAAAAATGCTCTCTCTCAGCTGTAGATCTTAAGTTTCAATCACTTGAAAACCACCATTGCGATAGAATGTATAGTCGAAAATTTCTTAAAATTAATGCTATTGTAACCAGTGATGTAAAACAACAATTGTTTCCTAAGTTACAGATGATTACCAATTAGGCTAATTAGGTTCTGAAATCGTACGATTCCCTTCCTCATTTGAAATGAAATATATAATAACATTTTATAAAACACTGTGTAGTTAATAACAAACAGTTTTGGACTTTTCTGTCCTCAACTAAATTACAAATATTTATTCTACTTTATTCCACACTTTATTCCAGAAGCAAAGAAAATACTGGCTACATCTACTGTATAGTAAATGATTAAAGTGTCAAAGAAACCGGTCTGAATACTTCCTAGACTTAAAATTCTGCTCAGATACACGATTTTTTGTTTTCTATTTTATTTAGCGTTATAATTAATCCATTAATAAATTAAACAAGTTGTGCATATTATAGAAATATTCGCCAATTATTTTGATGTTTATTTTTTTACTTTTGTATTCGACCTAGTCGTTTTTCTTTAAAAATGCATAAAACCTGCAATTCAGTTATAATATTTATTACACTCAATGAGATGTCGTGTTAGTACATTTTTAGAAATAAACATTGATTCATAGACTATAGTACGAGGAGTAAACAATTTTATTGATACATGCTTTTAACCTTTTCTATTTTTAGCTATAACTGGTACTTTCTACTTCTGCTTTTTCACGGTGCTGGCCCTGCTCTTCGCCGTTTGCATGAAAGGTTTGTTGGCCACACTAAATTTTGAAAAACCAAGATGGATCCTCGAAGAAAGTCTGATAGGAACTAATCCAGGTAAAGCCATTCATCATATTTCATGTCTTTTATATTTCCAGTGTATTTTTTAAAAATATATTTGTAATATATTTTTATATATTTTTGATATGTTTTAATATATTGTTAATATATTTTAATACATTTTTATATATTGATTATAATTGGTAAAAATATATTTGTGTAACGTATTTTTAATATATTATTAAAAATATATCTCTAAAAAATATACTGTTGTGAATAAAAACTATAATACCAAGATTATTTCATGTACGAAAGCATTAAATATTGATCCTTCAGACGCAAAATTATAGGACATAATTTCTGATGCATGGAAAACACTTTGGTTTTATTTGGTATTACATAATTGTATCATCTTTATGGTTCATTGGTTGACCAATTTCTATTTTTTGTCTTTACTGATACATACAGGCGTGTGCACCAGTGCACTATATTTAAATGGAGATGATCCTCTTATAAAACCACGTTCTGCAACATGGTTTCGCTCTAGCGCAGTTAGAACAGTGGGGATATCCTCCGGCATGACATGCTATTTCCACTGAAAGGTGCAGACAATTCCACATTCTACAAATGCATCGCTCAATATTTCGGAAAGAGATCTTATTGCTAGAATTAAAGAAATAGACAAAATTAACAAACTCGAGAAAATCTGTAGAGTATAAAAATAAAATTAATATTAATAGTATTTCCAGAAATAACAAAGTGTGAAAATCAACGTGTCCTATTTAATATCATCTCTAGCAAAAACTATTTGAGCAAAGGAAAGCAAATGCTTGTTATTGTACTTACTCATATTTTCAATGTGAAAAATATTTTCGTTATAGAGAAGGGCAAATATGCCGATAAAACTCGTAACATGGAATACATTGATATAAAAATAAACGTGTTTGTTTAACTATAATGTATAAAATGAGAAAATAAGAAGAGTGCGTCCAATCATCCCCAATGGGTTAACATTAAAAAACTAATGCTTCGTTATGCTACCGAAATTTGTGAAAAAATAAAGATATTTATGGTTTTATTAACATTTTTCTAAATTGTCCTTGTCTTATGCCATGTTTATCTGCGTATAATACATATATATATACTGTATCTACAACGCCATTTTTCAAAATTTTACTGCTGAGGATGCTATAATGTAATTTTAATAAAGTGTTAAAATTATATTAACAGTAAGTAGTGATTGCTTTGTTCGTATAATTCTCTAAGCAACAAGGTATAAAAGCCAAGTGTATTTAGGAATATAGTTCTATTATAATAGTTCCTGGCATTTTACTATGTTATTTAAATGAGATCGCAATTTTGTAAAACGTAAATAAACATAATACGATAATATTTTGGCATATAATTCCTGTTTCATGTAAAGGTTATGTATGTTAATTTTATTTTTTAATACTGATATTAAAGTTATTAAATCAGACTTGTTTTATAATTATCACTATACTGCGAATTTATATGCATTTATAAGAACAATGATAATGTGTTGAA